ACGAACTCTTCAAAACCTTATATCTGAAATACTGAGATTCAATTTTATGAAAATAAAAATTTATATCTGAAGTATCGGGTTTCAACTTTATGAAAATAAAAACCTTATATCTGAAATACAGGGTTTCAACTATATGAAAAATAAAAACCTTATATCTGAAATATCGGGTTTCAACTATATGAAAATAAAAACCTTATATCTGAAGTACCAGGCTTCAACTTTATGAAAATAAATGTAATTTTATGTAATGACAAGTTTAACTATTTGGTGATCTTATAGTATAACAGATATTCTATTGCATCAAATGTATTATTCATTAGCCTGGTTGGTTTCTGCTTAAATAATAACAAAATGTAAATAATAAAATGTTAATTGTAGCTAGAAATCTCATTTACTCCCTTTTTAATTTTTTCGTAACTTTAACTTCAAAATCATCTATCTGCTGCAGCTATAGTTTTCACTCTAATGGGGAGGATTATTGGTATATACTCTGCTGCAGCTATAGTTTTCACTCTAATGGGGAGGATTATTGGTATATACTCTGCTGCAGCTATAGTTTTCACTCTAATGGGGAGGATTATTGGTTGTTATTTGTACAGTGCCATAGGAATAATAAAAATATATTTGTTATCTGTTGCCTGCTTCTGTTGATACCCTAGTTGACAAAGCTGTTTTGTTTATAGCAAACCCTATTTTTTTATCGGTACGGAGTGCTTCAAACAATTGATATTGTCTACCGGTCAGCCATTTATCTTGTTTAACAAAACATTAAGGATTTATTCGATAAACTAGGTAGATTTTAGGAAGCGCCACCTAGTAACGAATGTATAAAGTAGTTTAATACAGCACTGCATTGAGGTTGAAATTTAAACGATCTTGACCAAGAAACGCAAAAATATTTAAAATACATTTAAACGCTAATCGTGCACGTGCATATACAAATGATTTATTCATACACGTGGCGTATAAAATTCTGTTACATCAGGTTTAATTTTTCGAAGTGAAACACTGTACGTAGCTCGTGCAAAGTGTTAGCAATACATAAATTATTCAGTCACCCTTCAGACTTGTTTATTTTTAATTTTTTTTCTTGGAAGGATCTGGTTTAATAATCCTATTTCATAATCGTTCAATGTTAATACACGAATTTGTTTTTGGACGTGTAAAAAGACGAAAATTAAGTCAATAGCTCATTTAAAGATTACGAAACCAACAAAACATACTTTGTCACAGAATACTGTTTTCAATTCCACAGAATCCAGAGCCAATAAAATAAGCGAGCCATTCTGGTTTAACGACGTAATTACTTGTATAACTTTGATCTTCTTTTCGTAAACTATTCAGAAAAATTGGTCTCAGTTGGAACAGAAAACCACGCACTTCTCCATCTTTAGCACCAGTAAAACATTGTGATCTCGGTTTATGTTCAATATCTCTTATGGAGAATTTATTGAAATTCTAAATTTGTTAAATTCATTCTTCAATTTCTGACACGTATTATATTTGGATTTGAATTGAGCTATTAAATACATTAAGTGATGTCCTGAAAATAATGCTGTTGGTGTGTATGTCGATATTTTACAAGATGTAGAAGTGAAAGCTATTCACATTGTAACAAAAAAAAAGCAATGGACTATCTTTGTTGAGATGTCCAAAACCAAAGTTGTAAATAAAACAAACTTATAAGTAAAGTTAACTTACAAAATATTACTTAAACCTTACATTACTGGAAAGCCACTGCAATGGTGGAGTTTAGAATAAGAAACACAATCTTACCTGTTCATCTCCCTTAGCCTCCATCTTCCGAAATGAAGTACTGGACCGCTTCTGCGGCGTTCAGCTGCAGCTCTTTAGAGGCGGTGGCGACGCCATGACGTCACACTTATGAGCAATCAGATCGGTCAAAACTATTCGTATGCAGTATCCCGAGGCAGATAATTTTTTCGTTTTTGTTACGTACTACTTTTGTTGTTACATGCTACGAGTTAGATATCTTTATAGCTATTTGGTATTCTTATGATTTATATCTGTCCAAATGAGAGGGTTATATGTTATGTAACTTAAAACTTTAGATATATAACGAAAGCTTGAAAATTTTCCAAACTCACTCACTCCTAGATGCTTATTTGGTTCGTTTGGCTATTATAAACTTAATAATATAGTTTATATTATTATATTATAAACTTATTTCTGATGTTTAAAAAATCATCACATTCACACATGTTTCAGTCTGTCTTTATTTGGAATTTTATTTTTATTTTATTAAAATCACCAAAAATATCTTTCTCGGATAAGCCTCACGTGGAGAAACTTGGAAGTATTTCTCATAATACCTGCGTAATCTGACGTCATGAGTGATGTCACAGAGCGGAACGATATCACTGGATCATGGCGTAATGTATATACCAATAATCCTCCCCATTAGAGTGAAAACTATAGCTGCAGCAGAGTATATACCAATAATCCTCCCCATTAGAGTGAAAACTATAGCTGCAGCAGAGTATATAGTAATTTCCAACTATGGAAGGTAC